AAGGAAAAATAAAACCTGCCTTTATCTTACAAATTTGAATGTTATTGACTTGACAGCTATAAACTCCCCAAGATATTGAGATAAAGACAAAACCTGACTTGAGAAATGATCAAGTCTACATTCTATGAGCGCTTAAGTGTATGCACACATGCTCAGACACTCACAAACAAGATGACTTTCCTGGAGGTCAAACCACACACAGCACTGTTAGGCAGAGAAGGCAGCCTACCTCTCCCCACCCCCACTCTCTGTGGTCATTGATTTTGACATTTATATAGCATTTCACTTCCTAAGCATTGCTATCGGCTATTTTCCCAAGTAACCTTCCTGGAGAGATGGAGCCAAACAATGTCAGATTGTAAATGAGACACAGAGGTTAGGATCATTTACCCAGCATCTTAAATCAAAAATCATTGTACAGGGACTATAACTTTTAATTGGGAACCGAAAATAAAATAGCTAACCGTACTGTCCCCAAGACTCTGGTTCATCAGTTAGACTCTGTCTAGCAGAAAAAAATTCAGGCCAAATCTGTAGGAACTTTCTTACTCAGTTCTCGATCCCTTTCTCCTTATTCATTGTTGCAACCATCTAAGTGCTTCTAAGATGAGTTGTCAGATTTACAATAGCATTAATATAAGAAAAATACATATTTGAAATTATCCACTTAATAGCTCGGCTTTAGCAAACCTGCTTTTGTTGTCTGTAGTCTCAATATTCAATGGCCATGTCTATGTATTTGTTGTCCAACTCAATTTCGTATTTTTGAACTACTGCTTAGTCTATATAAGTAAAGGATTCAAAGCTGTTAAACAGACAAAGGGGGAAAATCAACTTAAAAAAGCCTTTAAAGCCTTTGCCTTTAGTAATAATAATGTAATAATAATAATAGAAAATGAAAGAAATAAAGAATAAAAAGAAATGCAAATGTGTCGTGTGTCATGCTTCAACAGCTGTAACCCACCATACAAACAAAGGTTTGTTGATGTCCAGGTTAAAAGTAGTAATGACAAGACCTTTGATATCTACTCGGAAAAGCATCAAGCTTCACTCCCAATCCTTGACTTCCAATAATATTGACATAATCACCCTTAACTAATTCTAAACCTGGTTGGGAAACATCAGAGGGACTACATGGCTGGTTGCCTGGTCTGGTTGTCAGTTTCTGACTAGAAATACGCTGCCTACAAAACTTATCTGTTTGCATAAGGATTCAGAATGCTGAGAAATCTAATTGAAAATGACCTGGGACTAACTTGTTCTTTCCTCAAGTAGAGGACACTGTAAACATCTGCTTCTTTTTCAAAATCAGAACATCCAATAGCCTGTGGTGATTTTAGCCAGGTACAAAATGTGAACATTTTGACTCAGATGGTAACTCATTAAAGATGTCGTATCTGAAATTCAGCAGCAATCATGAAAACGGTACTCATGTACCTTAAGCCTAGCAGAACTAGACAACACACTGTAAATAGCCCTCCACTTCATGCTGTTGTATGAGAGAGAGCCCAAGCCAACCAAAAAGTGGCACAAAGAACACCTTGACCCCATCTGGAACTCTTTCTTTCTGGTGCAATCTATGCCACTGTCATCTTCAAGCTTGTATTTCTCACACTTGTGCCCTGGCCTTTGTTATCTGGCTCAAGTCAGTGTCATCAGCCAGCCACTCCCAAGATGAGCCTAAAGCTTATGCTGTAAAGAAGCTATAGGCTCAGCAGCCAGGCTGATTGGATTTGACTTCAATTCATTTATGATTGCAGGCACTGTCCCTGTCCCCCGATAACTAGAAGTGAAAAATAGAAATTAATCAATGGCCTTGTTCTTGTGGAGAGTTAAAAAGGAAGAGAGAGAGAGAGAGAGAGAGAGAGAGAGAGAGAGAGAGAGAGAGAATATAAGTGTGTCAGGTGGTGCTGAGTAACATAAACGAATAAAACCCAGGCTTGGAAGCACAGTAGGATGGAGGTGAGAAGGGTAGTCATATTACACTGCATGGTTTGGGGGCCTTTGTCATGACATAGCACTTCATCTGAGGCACAAGTCATTTAGATGTGGGGAACAACAGCATGCCCCAAGCAAAGGATGAAATAGGAACAACATCCATGAGGCTGGAGGACGTTTAGTATGTTCAAGGAAGAGTCAAGTGATCACTGGCTTTGAGCAGTGAGAGAAGGGGGACTATGGTGGTCCGGGGATTAAAGAGGTGGCAGAAAGCTAGATGGTGTGGAAGCCCACTGGCAACAGTGAGAATCTCTGGATTTTGAATTTGCTTAGAGCAAGATGAGAGTCTAGGTATTTGTGCGAAGGTATGTCAGAAGTAGATCTATATTTTAAAAGGGGTTTTCCATGGGGTGTGTCCTGGAGATCGGATTAAAGGTAGATGCATGGAGAACAATTACAAAGTCAATGAGTCCTGATGAGGGATGGAGATGGCTAATAACGATGGGATGGATAATTAACGGACTTGTGGAGGTGTCAAGGGTAACAATTGTGACTATTAAAAAGATGCTATCTTGGGAGTCTCCTAATGCACTGTATGTGTACAAAGAAAGAGAAACAGCAGCAGAGATGACCACAACAGTTATCACAGGGATGATGGTGGTACCATTGCCTGATGGGTAGGAAAGGAAAATCAGAAGGGTTGGGCTCAGGGAGAAAATGAGCAGCAGAGAGAATCAGCAAGACAGATGAAATTCTTTTGGAGCTACTGGAATGAGACTGTGCACATAGAGAAGTAGCTAGAGGGTGGTTTGGGGTCAGAGGAAGTGAGGTTTTTTTTTTTTTGAGATAGTGATAATCACACCTAATGTCTAAAATAACATCCTGTCCCTAGAGTAATGAACTCAGCACAAGAAGCTGCCTCTCTTGGTATACAAACACAGCAGTCAGGTAAGAATAGGAGAGCCACCGTGGCTCTCAGAGCAAAGTATCCAAAGTGTACTGAAAACTAAGATGACTTTATTCCCAGAAAGCACCATAGTCCCTAGCTAGCTAGCATTGCAGATGCCCTGCTGTCCCCTGACATGAAGTCATTTGGTGAGCTGTATGCCTGAGCATGAGAATGCTACCACCCTCAGCCTCCTTCAACTTAAACAATGTCTGTTGACCTTTCAACAGGTCAAGACCAAGGATCTTATTTCTAGAATGTAACAGGCGTCATGAAAATGGCATCACACATATCTCTACTGCTCAGGTGCTTTGAGTCTCAAAAGCACAGCCCTGGATGGTAGACCTGCACTTGGAGGATGTAGAAGCAGGAACAGAGAACAATCAAAGTCCAAGAGGTAATCAGCATCGGAGGTGACAGCCAGCCAGGTCTGTGAATCATGAAGTATGCACTATACACTCCAGAGCTCCAGATGAGAGACACTGGAGTGACCAGACGGAGAAAACCATTCGCTGCAACGCACCTGTTTCCTGTACCCTCCCAGCAGATCCTCTCTGTGCTGAGAATACAGCTCAGGAAGTTGAAGATACAGAAGTGTTCAGCATCCTGAGGCAAAGTACATGCTTTATTAATGGTTTAAATACTTTTCACTTGTAAAGATCCACACATTGCCTTCTTTTGTACTTAACTGGGAGTTGAGAATTCTAAGCTGTATGATTCCTCATGTAATTCTAATCTTTAATATTCCTGTAGAAAATTTAAATGATTTAAACTGACAAATAGTTGGTAGCCTATCGACATTGATTTTATTAATTCTTCCACAGAAACCTGATGATGTCTTCTGTTTCCTCATGTGCTAAGTCTGTACAGCTTTAAATATACTAATTAACCGTCTGTTTTGCTATTTTACAGAATGTCTGTTTACAGTATCACCAATTTTGGCTTTGAACATTTTAAATGTTTTGTACTTTTCTGCAGGAAAAGGGCCAACTTTGTCTTTTATACCTGTTCTCATACCATTCCCCCCTTATGGATGTGTTTAGAAAGCCTACGATCAACACCAATATTGAATTTCCTTGAAAGATGGTATACTGACTGCAACCTGCTTGTGTGCAGGTGGTAATGACAGAGTAGAGTATTTTGCTTTAGCACCCTAGTTAGACTGAGACAGTCAGTCTGTTGAAGGGGGAGGTAAATACACGAAGGGCAGCAAAGATTGGTTCAGATATGAAGGGAATAAGAGACTGGATGTGAGGGAGAAGAACTGTTGATATCTAGATACCAAATGTGTGTGTGTGTGTAATTAAAAAGTTGAAGTTGATGATAGGAAATCAGGATGCTTATAATTGAGACCACACAGGGTGCACATTACCACAAACATTCCCATTACTTGCTGCTGTTTCTAAGTGTCAAGAAAATAGTTGTAATGCTTCCTAAAAATATTATACAGATGTGATGTGTTGGGAGCCGCAATCGCCGTAACGCGATGGCTACGGCAACTGCTTCCGGGTTCCTCACAGAAGGCCTGGATGCTAGTGCGCATGCACGAGCCATGCACGCCTTTCATGCTAATTTAGGCTTACGCCAGGGACCAATCCAGATTAGACATGACATGCTCCGAGCACTGACTGACCATCCAGGATCTGGGGGCTGGGACTTTTGGGACTATATAAGCAACCGCCTTTCTGCAGTTCAGGGCCCTCTCGCCTGCAACCTAAAAGAGCTGTAATAAACCGCGTGTCAGAAGAATTCATCATGTGTGGCGTCTTCCTTATCGGCGAGGCGGGCGCTACGCAGCTGGTGCCGAAACCCGGGACGGCCAAACCTGGGCAGTGGAAGCCAGCAGAGAACATCGCTACGAGGGACCCCGACAGCTCATCGGGAGAATTCAGAACTGACAGCGAAGGAAGTCTGGACACTTTTCTGCAAGGTATGTTTGATCCTGCCTGGGTGGGCGCTTTCGTTTTCCTCTGGGCGATTATCGTTCTTTTGTTTTTCTGTTGCATAAATTGCTCTGTCCCTGGCCAGGAGTGTTTGACTCCTTTCTGCCAAGAGTACCGTAATTCTCAGGTAGATAATTGAGTGAACACTCCCCCACTCTCTGTAAATAAGAGACATGGGAAATCAACAGATGAAGCCGATTCTGGCAGCAGTGCAGGCATTGCTTAAACAGAGGAAGCTTCATATTCCAGAGAGGGTGCTTTGTAACTTTTTAAAGGAAGTTGATCATGTTGCACCGTGGTTTGTGATCACCGGTTCCTTAACTAGGACCTTGTGGGCTAAACTCGGAGGCGACTTGCTTAGTGAAAAGGAGGGAGGAAAATTGCACCCAGGGACATGGCCTATTTATAAGATGATCAGAGCATGCATAGAGGACGAGAAATGCCAGGATACACTTAAGGAGGGACAGAAGGCCCTGACTGAACATCAGGATAGCTTATCAGAAGCAGAAAAGGGAGGAGGCCCCGAGAGAAGGAAGCCTCCAAGGAAAAAGGAAAAGCCTAGAAAGGAGATAAATGAGAAACCTCGAGGGTTATATCCAGCCCTGGATGAATTTAAAAAACTAAAGATAGATACCTCCTCAGAGGAGACGTCCTTTGAGGAAGAAGAGAGGCAGAAACAAGAAGTAGGAGTTAGGTCAAAAAACAAAACACTAGAGTTAGACTCGGAAGATGAGCAGGAACTAGAGAAGGAAGCAGCCAAATATGAGTCAGGGAGATATGGGCCGAATCCGCCCTATGCCCCAGGCGCCACGCCTTCAGCGCCGCTCTTAGAAATGATAGAACCTAGACAGCATAGTAAACAGAAAAAGGGAACCAAAGATCAAAAGATGCAGGAAGCCCCAAAAACAGGTAGTTCCACACTAATTCCAGATGAGGTCAGAAAAGAGATTAAAGCAGCTTTTCCTGTATGGGAAGATGCTAACCAAGTAAGACAGTATAGTGTATTAGATGTAAAACAACTTAAGACTTTAGCAGAATCAGTCCAAACCTATGGTGTCAACGCCTCCTTCACGCAGGCGTTGGTAGAAAGACTCACCACGAGCGCCATGACACCCGAGGATTGGTACAATACTGTCAAGGCATGCTTAACTATGGGACAATACCTGGATTGGAAGTCCATATATCAAGATCTCTGTGCCTCACAGGCAAGACAAAATGCTGCTCAGCAGCATCCACAATGGTCTCTTGATATGCTTACAGGACAGGGTCAGTGGGCGGCTAATCAGATCAATTACCCGGGTGAAGTCTATGAGCAGATTAATAAAGCTGCCGTTAAGGCATGGAAAAGTCTGCCCAATAAAGGACAGGTAACAGGTAATTTGACAAGGATTATACAAGGGACAAATGAAACTTTTTCAGACTTTGTAGCAAGAATGATGGAAGCGGCAGGCAGAGTTTTTGGTGATCCAGATACGGCTATGCCTCTCATAGAACAATTAGTTTATGAGCAGTGTACGAAGGAATATAGAAATGCAATTACACCCTGGAAAGCAAAAGGGATTAATGCCTGGATGAAAGCTTATAGAGAGATAGGAGGACCGCTTTCCAATTCAGGACTGGCAGTGGCAGTCCTTGCTGCCCAACGTAAATCATCTAGGAAGTGTTACAATTGTGGCAAGCCTGGACATCTCCAGAAAGAATGCAGGAATAAGACTCAGATAAGGAAGCCACCGGGCATTTGCCCCAGATGTAATAAAGGTAAACACTGGTCCAGTGAGTGCAGGTCAGAAAAGGACAAACAAGGTAAACCTCTAAGTGAACCGTCAAAAAACGGCCCGCAGGGCCCCCATCCCCAGGGCCCGAGAATATATGGGGTCATGAACAAACAGAGAAGGGAGAGCCCCAAAGAGCAACAACAGGGTCAGCAGGATTAGACCTCTGTGCCACCGCCAGAGCAGTACTAACCCCAACTATGGGGTGTCAACCTATTCCTTCAGACTTTAAAGGTCCGTTACCTAATAATTCGGTAGGATTAGTACTAGGACGATCCTCCACCATACTCAAAGGATTGATTGTACACCCAGGGGTTATAGATCAAGATTATACAGGACAGGTAAAAATTATGTGTTCATCCCCTCGAGGAATCTGTTCCATTGCACCGGGAGATCGTATTGCTCAATTGCTCGTTCTTCCAAGTTTACATAATATGTTTTCTAGAAAAAATGGAGAGAGAGGTGCTCAAGGCTTCGGGTCTACAGGACCCTCACATGCCTTTGTTTCCCTTGACCTAGATGCTAGACCTACATTGGAGTTAATGATAGAAGGGAAACCATTCACTGGATTATTGGATACTGGAGCAGATACATCTATTATAGCTGCCAAATGGTGGCCTTTAACATGGCCAGTACAAGAATCCTCGCAACTGCTACAGGGCCTAGGATATCAGTCGGCTCCAAGAATCAGCTCTAAGACCCTGACTTGGACAGATAAAGAAGGCAGGAGAGGTACCGTGATACCATATGTTATTCCTCTTCCAATTAATCTTTGGGGAAGAGATATACTAAAACAAATGGATTTTAAATTAACCAATGATTATTCAATACAAAGCCAGCATATGATGAGGAATATGGGATGTGTTCCAGGAAAAGGCCTTGGGAAATGTTTGCAGGGGAGAATGGACCCTATAGAAATCATTGAAAAACAGGATAAAAAAGGATTGGGTTTTTCCTAGGGGCCGCTGAGGAAGCTCTGTCCAATCCGTGGTTATCAGAGGAGCCTGTATGGGTTCCACAGTAGCCTCTTACCTCTGAAAAATTGATGGCAGCAAAAGAACTTGTAAAGGAACAGGAGGAGTTAGGGCACCTCGAAATTTCACATTCACCTTGGAATACACCAATTTTTGTTATAAAAAATAAATCAGGAAAATGGAGACTTTTACATGATCTCCGAGCTATTAATAAACAGATGTCAATTATGGGTCCTATTCAAAAGGGACTGCCATTGCTTTCAGCCCTTCCAAAACATTGGGAGATTATTATAGTTGATATCAAAGATTGTTTTTTCTCCATCCCCTTAAATAAAAGAGATAGGAAAAGATTTGCATTTACGTTGCCCAGTATTAATCATGAAGAACTAGATATAAGATATCAATGGAAGGTATTACCCCAAGGAATGGCCAATAGCCCTACCATGTGTCAGCTATATGTGTCCAAAGCCATCAAGCCTGTTAGAAAGAAATTTTCAAAAATTAAAATATGTCATTATATGGATGATATATTGATTTGCTCACCAGACAAAACTAACCTGCAAGATGTGTTTGCAGAGTTAGATAAATGCTTAAAAGCAAAAGGGTTGCAATTAGCTCCTGAGAAGGTACAGGAGGGAGAAATTGGTAAATTTTTAGGGTCCATTGTTACCCCTAATATTATAAAACCACAAAAACTAACCATTAGAAGGGATAATCTTAAAACATTAAATGATTTTCAAAAAATGTTAGGAGATATTAATTGGGTATGGCCCTTCCTAAAAATACCCACTGCAGAATTGTTGCCATTATTTAAGATTCTTGAAGGTGAGGCGGAAATCACCTCACCCAGAACCCTTACCTCAGAGGCCTCTTCGGCTCTGGATAAAGTTGAGACGGCAATACAATCGGCACAACTGACTAGAATACAATTAGGCAAGCCATTTCAATTGTGTATCCTTCCTTCCCCAATGTTCCCAACAGGTGTATTATGGCAAGAGGGACCTCTTCTTTGGATACATCATCACAGTTCCCCAAGGAAAATTTTGGGTTATTACCCTACCTTAGTAGCTGAATTAGCTTTGAGAGGATTGCGAGCTGCCCTTATTCATTTTGGAATTTATCCTAATATTATTATTTGTCCATATACATATAGTCAATTACAAGTGTTATTTGGTACAATAGATTCATGGGCCATTCTTAAGTGTTTCTTCCCAGGAGATATAGATAATCATTATCCTAAACATCCATTAATTTCCTTTATCAAGGCCCATCCTTTTATTTTTCCAAAAATTACTCAAAATATGCCCATAGCTGGAGCTTTGGATATTTATACAGATGGGTCAAAAACAGGCATGGGGTGTTATGTTGTTAATAATCAACTCGTTCAGATACAATTTAATTACACTTCTCCGCAGTTAGTTGAATGTGCTGTTGTGGCAACAGTACTTGAAAGATTCTTAATGCCAATAAATATAATCTCTGACTCACATTATGTTGTGCGTGCGGTTAGTCAACTTGAGGCGACTGATTTTATCCATTCTAGAAGTACAGTTGCCACTATATTCCAAAATATTCAATCAATTATTAGGTCCAGAAAACAACCATTTTATATACAACACATGAGGGCCCATACTTTACTTCCTGGGCCCATGTCATCCGCTAATGCCATGGCAGACCAAGGCACCAAGCATATGTTTTTGACTTTTAGTAAGATTCAAGAAGCCACAGAGTTTCATGATCTTTATCATGTTCCATCTCATACCTTGAGATTAAAATTCAACATTACCAGGAAGGAGGCTCGAGATATAGTACTCCAATGCACGTCTTGTGCTACTTTTCGCGTCGCTCCTTCCCTGGGAGTTAATCCCAGAGGATTGTTGCCCCTTCACATTTGGCAAATGGATATTACTCATTATAACTCCTTTGGTAAACAAAAATATGTACATGTGTCAGTGGACACATGCTCTGGAATAACTCATGCCACACCCATGACAGGAGAGAAGATATCCCATGTAATTGCCCATTGCCTAGAAGCTTGGGCTGCCTGGGGTAAGCCTCTCCAAATAAAAACTGACAATGGACCAGCTTATACTTCGAAAACCTTTCAACATTTTTGTCAACAAATGGGTGTCCGACATGCCACCGGCATACCCTATAATCCACAAGGACAAGGCATTGTCGAACGAGCAAATGGAATTCTAAAGACCCATTTACAAAAACAAAAGGGGGAATAGGCCCCAAGGGACCTAAGGCCTCCATATCCTTTACTCTCTTCACTATAAATTTTTAAAAATTGGATGCTCAGGGAAACTCAGCAGCAGACAGGCATAGTGTGTCTGAAAAGAAAAAATCCATGGTTAAGTGGAAGGATGTTCTCTCTAACACGTGGAAAGGCCCGGATCCAGTATTAATAAGATCCAGGGGAGCTGCTTGTGTTTTTCCACAGGATCAAGAACAGCCGATCTGGGTCTCCACGCGTCTGACAAGATTAATAAAAGATGTGCAGACCACAGATGAAGATCCAGCTCCTTGTTCTGATGATGATGACCCTGAAAATTGCCAAAACGGAAGTCAAGTGGGGGATAGTGACAACACTACCCATACCACTGCTGGTGATGTATAATACACAAGTTTTTCCCAGATTCTTTACCACCAATGAGTCACTAGGTCTACCATACCTTCCCTTAGATGTTTCATCCGCAGTGGCGACCAACCTAAGTGATAACCCATTTTTAAATGGTAGCCTCTGCTTTACCATTAATAACAGCTCAGATTATCCTTGTATTCGTTTAGGTAACTATTCCTATGCACAATTGGAGAAAATAGAAAAGGTTAACAAGACTCTCTTGATTGCTAATGCCACAATCCTTTTTGGTTGGTGGCCTACTACTAAGAACCCAACTAATAGTCTTGAGGGGGCAGATAGACTATCATCCTGGGTGACACAACCCCAGTATGCTCCCTTTTGCCGTGGAGGCTCAGTAGATCGGAGTCTCATTCCTTGGACAGGATGCCAAAGTCACAGGGCACAATGGCTCCCTAATGGTCACTTCACCCTCTCTCCTCTTGAAGGTTTTGGAAATTTTACTACTATGGACCCCCTAAGTTATGAGACGGACCCCTTTGATACATGGTTATTATGTGGTTCTGGGGGCAGTTGTACTGATCTAACGCTCATGTCTATGTTGTTGGGAGGAAGCGTGGCTAAAGGGAAGATCCGACACGATATAATGCAAGATAGGCTGACAGGTGAGATAGTTGAAGAGACAAGGAAATTGGTCAGCGCTACTCCAGTTTGTGTTTGGCCTCCATTTGTTTGGATAATTTCCAATTCCTCTAATTGTAATGATAGTAATAGCTGTAATTATACCCTTTGCTGGAATGGTAATAAAAGTAGTCATGCTGTAGTTGTTAGATTGCCAAGATTTGTCCCCATTCCAGTCGAAGCACCTAATACTTTGTCCTTATTTAGACAAAAGAGAGATTTTGGCGTCACAGCCGCCATTGTTGCCATTATGGCGACAGCGGCAGTTGCTACGGCGATGACTACCTTCGCCCTGGCTTTATCAGGCACCACGCAGACTGCGGCAGCGGTTAATGAGCTCTCAGCCGCTCTAACAGAAGCCATTGATACCAGAGTCACTGTAGAAAATCAACTAAAAGGAGGTCTTATGATAGTTAATCAAAGAATAGACCTCCTACAAGAACAAATTGATATTTTATGGCAATTGGCACAATTGGGATGTGAAATAAAAATGCCAGGACTCTGTGTGACCTCTGTACTATATGATAATTTTACAGCTGCAGCTAATTTGTCAAAAGAATTATCTTTACAGCTCAAGACCAACTGGAGTCAAGAATTTGACAAGACCCTGATTCGACTGAGACAAGCAGTCACCCGTATTAATTCCACATGGGTGGACGTTAATTTTGCTAAAGATCTTGGTGGCTGGCTTTCCTCTGGCTTTTCCTCTGCATTTTCCTATTTCAAAGAGTGGGTTGGAACAGGGATCTTTGGGTCAATGTTGTGCATAGGAGTCGTGTTCTGTATCTGGATGGTCCTCAGGCTACGTCAACAGAGGCATCGAGATCGCTGCATGATGGTTCAAGCACTTGCCGCACTAGAACAAGGGGCATCCCCCCAAGTTTGGATAAATATTCTCAGGCAATGAGACACTATCATGCAGG